AGAGAGAGAGAGAGAGACACAAAGCAAAGATCTAAACTCCTCTCTTTAATCTCCCACAACAGATGTGATGATTTTTTTCTGGACAGTGCACCTGAACAACTGAATAACACTCAACCATTTTTCAAAGTCTGAAGTGCTACTTAAGTTCTGAGGTGAAAGTCGCTGGGTCACTTAATTTGTCACATCACTCCTCTTTCTCTATTGTCCCAGAACTTTCTGAATTCAATCACTTTGAGTTGTCTTCACTGAGCTCTTCTTATATGGATGCCTTCTGTTTCCTACACTGGTGTTTCTGAATGTCCTTCACTACTCTTCTCTCCTATGATTATTTCTTCCTGGACCAGCCTTCCTTTGTACCCAACTGCCAACCTTTGTACCTCCCTTCTGACCCCATCTTCTTTCAGAATTTACAATGTTCAATAATGAAATCACTAATGTCCTATTCACTAACCAGGAAGCGATCTCTACAAGTAGGGAAAGTGGCCAGGATGAGATGCCCAGAGGCAGTCCTTTGCCATCCACCATGGAGGAGTGGTGAGTTCTACAGGGCCAATGCAGAGGAGGGAATGCGAAATGGTGTATGAGGAAGAGAGCTTCTCCCCATGCTCTGTCAGCTGCAATGACAGCCTTGCTTTCTGCTTCCCAGGATCCATGTCTGAGACCTTATTCAATATCATCTTGTCCTCTAGCACCAGCCCCACCCAATATCCTCTTAATTTCCTTGGGGTCTTCTGGAGATTACTCTCTCTCTCTCTCCTGGAACAGACCTAAAGAGAAGTGTGTCTTCTGAGCTGTTTTCCCGGGATGCACAGCCCATGTGGGCCCTGCCCTGTCTACTTGCAAGAAGGCCCCTGCTAGAAGGGGAGAAGGTGGTTCCTGGGCACACTCCCATCTGTTTGCAGGCTTCCACGCAACCTACTATCCACCTATAGCTTCCACTAACCTCCTCTCAGCCACCACCCTCCACTTGCCTGTCTGACACCGGGAACCAGTTAGTTATATAAACACTGCAGTGATGTGAAAGTAGATGCACAAGTCCACACTGAGCCTGTGAGACACTGCTAAATGTTCTGTATGGATGGTTTGTTAATCTTTACCATACCCTGAGGTAAGTGTCACTCCTTGCTGTAGTCTAATTGTTTCTGTCCCCTCCAATTTGTATGTTGAGACCCAATCTCCAAGGTGGTACTGTTGGGAAGTGGGCATCAGGGATATGATCAGGCTATAAGGGCAGGCTGAGGGAGCTTGTTTGACTGTTCCACCAAGTAGGGCCACAGGGAGTTTGCATCATCTATGAACTAGAGAGCGAGCCCTCTCCAGATACCACCAAATCTGCCTGCACCTTGAGCTTTGAATTTTCAGCCTCCATAGCTGTGAGCAATAAGTTTCTATTGTTTATAAAGCACAACATTCATGTTGTTTCTCTTATAGCAGCCTGAAAGTACTAAGACGCTCTCATTTTAGAGATGCAGAAACTTTATATGTCTTAGGAGGATTAAATAACTTGCCCAAATCACACTATCTGGAGCCAAGATTCAAACCCAGTTTAAATTGGCTTCCAAACCTACATGGTTAAACACCAGGGGTAGACATGGCCTCCCTGAATAATCTTTACTCACATGGAAAGGCAGAGGGGTTGTGGATCAAATGCTCCTGGTCCAGAACCAGCACTACTTTTGATTGTGTGAGCTCAGACACTCTTTTTTGAATATTATGATTTTCAATATCTTCACCAAGAAGATGGCATTATAAATGGTGACTTCATAATAAATAAATAAATAAATAAATGGTGGCTTCACAAAACCATGAAGATTGAAGGAGAACAGGTTTCCCAAATGCTGGGCACACAGAAGGCTCTGAACAAATATGAGCTGCCTTCCAGAAAAAAAATCTGTTCATTGTGTTAAACAGAGGGCTTCTCTGTCTTATCAACTGGACAACACAGAGTGACAGGTTTTTGAAATTTTTTAAAATTAATTTTATTGGGGCCGGGGATTTAGCTCAGTGGTTCCGGCGCCTGCCTTGCAAGCACAAGGACCCAAGTTCGATCACCGGTAC